AGTCTAGCTCCCTTTATAAGATTCTGAGATTCTTTTCTCAAATCTGGGCAAAAATCCAATGTGACATCAATTTTTTTTCTAAAGCTGTATACATCAGGGAATGTGAATCAATTTGAATTCCTTTCTATTTACATACAGATATAAACGAGTGTGCCAGTTCGCCGTGTATTCATGGTAGATGTGTAGATTATGTCAATAAGTACACGTGTACCTGTGATCCGGGGTTTACCGGAACAAACTGTGAAACAGGTGAGGGACTTAAAATTGCCATTAAAATTTTCTTTTTTATTTTATCCATGAATGTGCATTTACGGTTTTTCAATTATCACGAGAAACTGTCTATAATTTGGAAATTGAATTATTGAATATTACTTAGGAAAATAATTTATATTACTAGACAGAGTCAATATCTAGGGTCTGGAAGATAGATTTATTTGGTGAAGAAAAGGGTTTAACGAAGAAGTCAAGAAATAATCATCAAATTGTGCATATTCTGGAAAAGAAAAATATTCTTATTTAGTACATACCTTTTTTGTTTTACACTGTCTTTTTGTCTGCTACTTTATTAATTCTTCAAATTCTAATGTGAAGAATTGACAATAATTGAATTGGATTAAGAATTTTTTTTTCAAATTAGTATAAACATGAAATCTAAAGAATACATTTTATATTTGTGTGACTTGTTTTGCTAGAATTATCTTTCTTTTTACTAACAGTAAAGTCATTTTCTTTTTTCGTATACTATTGACACAGATATTATATTAACCAAGAATGCAAATGTAATATAATGTGAAGTTACCTTCTTTAGGCATCAAATGTAATAAAATGTGAAGTTTACTTCTCTAGGCATCAAAAGTAATAAAATGTGAAGTTCACTTCTCTACGCATCGGGTCCGAACTTGATGGCTCTATAACGGCTGTTTATCTTTTCTCTTTTTGTGATTCATAGTGTTCATAGGATATAGGAAAAAGACCACTGTTCGTTATTTTTTTTTCTTTCGTTTAATTCGCTGAACTCAAACATTTCTTTTCTATTTTCACAATTTAATTTTTTATATCATATTAGACATCGACGAATGCCAGAGTTCACCATGTGTTCATGGTAACTGTTCAGATCACGTGAACATGTACACTTGTGAATGTCAGCTTGGATACACAGGATATAACTGTGAAACAGGTGGATATCTTTATAATGAAATTTCTTGTCATTGTACACCATTTAAAAACAAACTTAAAATCACCCGGACGGTACATATTACTTGTTTTTTTTTGGGGGGGGGGGAGGGGGGAGGTTCCACTATTTAAAGCTTTAACTATCGATAACAATGAAATAATTTTTTTTTTAAATCAATTCATTATAAATATTTTTATAGAAATCAACGAATGTATAAGCTCCCCGTGCATTTATGGACAATGTGTCGATGAAGTCGCTAAATACACATGTACTTGTGACTTTTTATACGTTGGAAATCGTTGTGAAAAAGGTAATTGCCGTACTTAAAAAAACAATCACACTATTGATAGAAAAAAAAAATTGTATTATATAGCTCGATTTTATAACTTGTACCCTGTTGAATTTTTTTAGTGAATGCAACATACATAATAACCATAGTGCTAGGACTTTTGGGAATCATAGCGACTTTACTTGGATTATATATTATGTGGAGAAAAAAGAAGTAAGATTTGTTATGCTCTGTTTTCAAACTAGCAATCAAAAACATATTGTCTTAATCTATATAATAAGGTATCCAGTGTATGTATATCATGTAAAAAAACATTTCAGAAAGCAGACAGATTCTACGCCACCTTTCCCGTTTGAAAACATGAAACTTGGACAGACGAAATCCCAATTTTCACGAAATGCAACACAGATTGTTAAGACTATCCCGCAACCAGATCCCGTCTTATTTCCGGATGGAAATCTTGGACAGCCAAAAATAATTTTCAGCAGCAGATAAACAATACTTCTGTTCATAAGGAAGACTTCTACTTGTAATTAAGTACATGTTTTTGATAACTACATTTTAAAACATTGAAAAAAAAGTTTAAAAACTCTCAAGATTCTAATAGTCAAACATATAAAGGAAAACGATGTTCAAGTGGTTACTTGTGTCAATAAGTTTGCTTTTTCTAAACAAATGTTATTTTAAGACGAAAAAATGCAGTCTGTATGTTATTATATATGTAGGTACTTGAATCATTATTTTAAAAATTATTTATTATATGCATTCAGAAGCCCTTAAAGAACTAGTGTGGCTAAAAAGAGTATTTTTTTTAAAGCAGTATAAACATTTTATTGGAAATTTAAGGAAAAACACAAGGGCTAAGGATAAAAGTTCTTAGATAAGCATTTTGACCCATGGATCTTGTGCTCTATCTTTTATTTGTAAATGTCTATATGCTAACAAACTTTGCCATATAACTCAGTTTTAATGGAAAGATCTGTGAAAAAATGAAGATAACATATAATCATTAAAAAATCAAACAGACAATGCCAAAACCATACAAGACCAAGTACACGTAACGGTCCCCTGGAAGCATCATCGACGACAGCAGATACACATGAGGCATACGCCCCTATAGACCTAAACTCTCTGGACTGATAGGGATATACTGTAGTCAAAACTAGTTTTTAAAACTTTAAATTGGATTTATAGTTAAAACAAAAGGAATTGAACATTTCATGATAACATTTCATGATCATTTACAAACAAGATTCTTTAGTTAACGAGATTGAGGGCGAGACTTGCCGAGCCCTCCATCACGTTTTTGACCCGAGCCCAAATATCGCTATATTTCAAGACAATGACTATGTATTTTGTTTATCCTGCAAAATATATTTACATCTGACCTCCAAAATGAACTATTTTCAACCCGATTTAGACACATCTCTGCAGTGGAAACTAAGACGCCATAGCGTAAACATTGCAATATACGTGACGTCACAATGCTTTTAGAACGTCGGAATACATGCATGAGGCTTTATGAGGACATTGACCGAATAAAGCGTTAGTTTATTGGGTTACCTTTATTAGGTCAAAGCAAGGGGTAGTTGCAGGATAAATTATATATGTAATGCTACCATTGAAAAAAAAATGCAAGAATTAGATGAATTAAACATATTTGAAGGGATTTGAAAAGGTAAATTATTGAAAGATAAGTTGAAGAAACCAGGATACAAGAAGACTCGTTTAAAGACATCCTTTCTCAAGTACTATTGTTGATACAGTGATATTGTCAGCAAATACAATTCATCGCTGAGTCAAATGCCGACTGACTTCTTTCATACTAATTTATAGGCCATTATTTACACACTGAATTGACGACGGATGGATTTTCAGTTAGTTTTACATTTTATTGGAAATTTAAGGAAAAACACAAGGGCTAAGGATAAAAGTTCTTAGATAAGCATTTTGACCCATGGATCTTGTGCTCTATCTTTTATTTGTAAATGTCTATATGCTAACAAACTTTGCCATATAACTCAGTTTTAATGGAAAGATCTGTGAAAAAATGAAGATAACATATAATCATTAAAAAATCAAACAGACAATGCCAAAACCATACAAGACCAAGTACACGTAACGGTCCCCTGGAAGCATCATCGACGACAGCAGATACACATGAGGCATACGCCCCTATAGACCTAAACTCTCTGGACTGATAGGGATATACTGTAGTCAAAACTAGTTTTTAAAACTTTAAATTGGATTTATAGTTAAAACAAAAGGAATTGAACATTTCATGATAACATTTCATGATCATTTACAAACAAGATTCTTTAGTTAACGAGATTGAGGGCGAGACTTGCCGAGCCCTCAATCACGTTTTTGACCCGAACTCAAATATTGCTTTCATTTCAAGACACCATGTACATTTTGTTTATCCTGCAAAATATATTTACATCTGACCTCCAAAATGAACTATTTTCAACCCGATTTAGACACATCTCTGCAGAGGAAACTATAATGCCAATAGCGTTACAAACATTGCAATATACGTGACGTCAGAATGCTTTTAGAACGTCCGAATATGAGGCTTTATTAGGACATTGACCGAATAAAGCTTTAGTTTATTAGGTTACCTTTATTAGGTCAAAGCAAGGGGTAGTTGCAGGATAAATTATATATGTAATGCTACCATTGAAAAAAAAATGCAAGAATTAGATGAATTAAACATATTTGAAGGGATTTGAAAAGGTAAATTATTGAAAGATAAGTTGAAGAAACCAGGATACAAGAAGACTCGTTTAAAGACATCCTTTCTCAAGTACTATTGTTGATACAGTGATATTGTCAGCAAATACAATTCATCGCTGAGTCAAATGCCGACTGACTTCTTTCATACTAATTTATAGGCCATTATTTACACACTGAATTGACGACGGATGGATTTTCAGTTAGTTTTTTATCATGACAAGGAGCAAACGGCGGGTGTGACCGGTCGGCAGGGGATTCTCAATCCTACATTGCTCCTAATCCCACCTCTGATGTTTTGAAGGTCCGTGTTTGCTCTGCCCTTATTTTGTATTCTTTTATGGACTTTTGATCTTGAAGACTGTTTGCCCTTGTTATGTTTCATTTTTTTGGATCATCCTCAAATTTTTGTTCAGGATATTTATTAGCTCTGTATTCGGTTCATCAAATTTCTAACTAAGTTCGACTTTCTACTATAGGCTGCATATCGGAAAATCCTGTCATATATGAGTTATCTACCGTGTATACATCTTTTTCTCTGTTAGAGTTCTGATTGATGATTTGCAGCTTTAGCTGTTTTAGGACAATAACACTATACAGACTAAAGAAAACAGCAGCTAAAACACCAATCAGAGTAAACACTGCGATGACTAGATCGGCGGTTAAGCTTCTATTGTTGTTGTTGCTGTTTTGAGTGCAGATGTTCTCAGTCAGCAGACGGCCTAGAAATAGAAATTTAAAGACCTAAAAGTATTGGAATGGTGCAGACTAATATTAAATTTTGTTGGAAGAAAACAAAAAAGTGATTATTTTTCTAAATTAATTTTGACAGATAAGTTTTAAGCATAATCCTTTGTATTGTATTTATCTAAGCTACGTAAGCACAATACATGTGGTACCACGTGGTATTTTTTACTTTGGAAACTCCAAATTTAATCTTAACTTGTCCATTTTCCTTGTTGCCATTTTCAACTTTGAACTAGGTAGTCAATTACCCTGTATTGCTGGCTTTATTTCGGGATTTCCTTGAGATGTTAACGATGTGGTGCTTGAGGGAGCAGTTGTTGAGATTTTTGGTTTATTTGTTGATGATTGCCCTGATTCAAATTGAAAAGTATGTAATAATATGAAAAAATTCAAGACAAGAAGTCATTTTACATTCTTTTTTTATGCTGAAGGAGGCCGAGTCTAATTATTTCTACACTAGATAATATGATAAACTTTTTTGTGCGAATTTTTACTTTTACATTTTACACATCGTTTTAATAAAATCATCGAATGTTTACTATCCGGATATCGGGCTGGAGTACGAAGCGAGAATGGGAACGGCCGCGGACTGGGCGAGACCCGTCAAACGGTCGAGCTCGGATCGTCGGTCTAACCCGTCTCGTGGACTGATAGGAGGCATCTAAAAAGAAGTTAAATTATAACATTTTCCCTATATTTTTTGTGTAGGGTAAGGGTTATGATTAGGACATGTTTATATATCGGTGCAGATGAATGATTTTCAATTGGTAAAAATAACATTTATTTTTATTTCTTGTGTGTTTCTTCAAATGTTCTGTCAACAGTTTTAAGTGAAATGTGAAATGTCAAAGGACGTCTTGAATAATCTAGCGAGTCATCTGTCATTTTTAGTGCCATGCATTGCTTACAGAACCGTAAAACAGTGACGTCGTTAGTGCCACTTCAATGTTTATTCCTAAATTATTGTCTTGATAACAGCTTTGTATAAAAATTCCGCAAAAACCGTAAAGGTGTTATGTCGTACCTACGACTGCATCAAATCAAAAAGCTGCACAAAGGCATTCGCAGTCTAATTAGACTCGGCCTCGTTAAAGTCAAATGCATGAAATTATGACATGCACAACAGAGATCATATCCATCTTCACAGTTATGAATTCGAATCATGCGCTTTAATGTAAAGATTAATATACAGAATAACTTATACAAAGAAACATAATAATATACATAAATAGTAATGTAATAATACGTAGTAGTAATAATAATAAATGCTCAAAATAAATGTAGATCGAATTCCTTCTGCGAATTGAATTTATTTAGATTGTATGGAGGACTTTTATTAGTAATTTCAGTTAAGTGTGAAGTTTGGCATTACGTCAGGATCTTTTTCGACAGATGCATCCAGCGTTAACAATTCACAACCCGCTGTGTGATTGGTCAACTCATATTATCAACATTGACACGGAAAAAGTCTGTTGCACGAGCAACCAATCAGGGATTAGAAGAAACTTCCAGTCGTAAAACTTGCGGTTAGGAGGCTTGTTCACTTAACTGAAATTACTAAAAAAAATCTGTATGATTGTCTCAATTATTTTCCTAATCAAAAAGATAGATGTGTTGCAGTTTATACGTTACTCTGTCTCTTGATGCGTAAAGGATAGCATATGATCACTTCTTACCACAAACAGGTATGTTGCATCTTTCCCATCTTTTACCGGGAGCTGTAGACAAACACCAGGGAAATTCTGCCCCATCCGGGGATCTGCAATAATTTTCTAACTCTCCAAAAACTGCATAAGCCTCTTCTGAATCCCAACGTCGGCATGCGTAACCCGTCTCTGTGATAGCAATTTTTCCCGTGTACATAAATCCGCTACCCTTTTCATAACAATCATCATTTGTAATGGCTAAATAAAGGAAAATGAAATATAAATAAAAATCACAACAATAACTCTAGGTATACAAATATTGTAGATTAGGAGTTGATTTCTTAATGTTGAAAGTTCTAAGTTCGGTCCCTGTCCATGTGCTGCAACAAGCCTAAAACGCTGAACATAGGAAAATTTAGTGACTGTATCTTACTGAGGGTACAGCACTAGTGATGGAGTTGAAGATCTTTGAGATGAAACTTTAATATTTCTCACTGCGAACGTACGAAACATTCAAACCCGATCTTAACAGCAGATGATGTTTCTAAATAAGTGAAACGTTTAACAACATAACGAAATATTTATAACTTACGACATAGTGGTATTCTACAGTATTCCCATCTTTTCTCCTCATCCGTCGTGTAGCACCAGGGGCCCTGTGGTTCTCTGTCAGGGTTTCTGCAGTAATTTCTACTGTTCTTTAGGGTATTATTAAACTTATGCTTATGGGGAAACTGTGAGACCCAGGACTGACAATCTTTTCCACTCAAGGTGTGATCTACGTTTCCAAAATACTCCATTCCTAGTGTTGTCATTTTGCACTCCCTTTGTCCTGGAAGAGAGTAAAGAACAAAATAATCAACACCTACTAACAACAACTATGATATATCTATTTCTGCTTTTTCTGACCGAAGGCCCAAGCGAGCTTTTCTGATCAAAATTTGTCCATTGTCTGTCGTTGTCGTCGTCGTTGTTGTCGTAAACTTTTCACATTTTCATCTTCATCTCAAGAACCACTGGTCCAATTTCAACCAAACGTGCTACAAAGTATTCTGGGGTTAAGGGGATTCAAGTTTGTTCAAATAAAGGGTCACACCCTTTTCCAAGGGAAGATAATTATGAATTATTGAAAAATTAATATTTAAAAAATCTTTTTCTCCAGAACCACTGGACCAGGAAGGATGAAACTCATATGGAAGCCTCCTCAGGTAGTGTAAATTTAAGTTTGTACAAATCATAACCCCCGGGGGGTAGGGTGGTGCCACAACGGCTGATCAAAGTTTTACATAGGAATATATAGAAAAAATCTTTAAAAATCTTCTCCTCAAAAACTGTTGGGACAGGAAAGATGAAACTCATGTTGAATCACCCTCAGGTAGTGTACATTTACGTTTGTTCAAATCATGAACCGGGGGGGGGGGGGGGTAGGGTCGGGCAATATTGCCGATCAAAGTTTCATATAGGAAGATATAGGGAAAATCTTTAAAAATCTTCTTCTCAAGAACCTTTGGGACAGGAAAGATGAAACTCATGTTGAATTATCCTCAGATAGTGTACATTCAAGTTTGTTCAAATAATGGCCCCCAGGGCAAGGGCGGAGCCACAATGGCCGATAAAATCTTTACATAGGAATAAATAGGGAAATCTTTAAAAAATTTCTTCTCAATTACTGCAAAGCCATGATAACAGAAAAACTATGTTAAGTCATATTGACATGTAAGCATCCTCATGTATTGAAGATTTAAATTTGTTCAAGTCATGAGTACCTTTTGGGGTAGGGAGGGAAATGAATGGGAGTCAAATTCAAATATAACAAAGTAATATATACAAACAAAATGTTCAAAAAAATCTATAAAAATCTTTTTCTCAAGAACTATCTCACAAAGTCATATGCAGAATTGAAATGAAGGCATTCTCAAGAAGTTTTAGAATTCAAGCTCCCCCCCCCCTCAGTAAACTTTTCAATTCTGATCTTATTTGCTGTTTTCCTAGTCAATGTGCTCAGGTGAGCGATGTGGCCCCTGACCCTCTTGTTAATAATGTTTTGAACTATATGAGCACTATAAAAGACAGAAATCTTTTTTGTTCATCATTTCATCATCAACTAGAGGTACTGTGAGCAATGAGCTCACTAAATGATACCCCCCGCCTCCCATATGGTTATAACTGATGAACAAAGTCCACGTTTGTGCTGTGGCCAGGTAACCCAAAATATGTGTCGAATCAAAAAGTAAAATAGGAGTGCACAATTGCAATATGTAATAAAGATTCTGTAAAAGTTTCATCAAATTTCACTCAGTGGTATAAGAGGAGTTGCGGATTAGAGATAGGTACATGTACCCCAGAGCGTAACAGACGGACGGACGGACGGACGGACATACCGATTACAGTATATCCTCCCACTTTTCAAGCGAGGGTATAATGAAATGGACATCTAATGCTACAATAGAGGCATATTTAAACAGTGTTCATTCTTAAGGAAACCTATAATTCATTGTTTATCATTTGAAAAAACAAAAAACAAATTTGTGATGAAATAGATAAACAAAGCCATTAATTAACGCAAAAGTAGACTTTTCTTTTAAAATCAGATGAAAGAGGATTTCCTTTCCTACAGAAATATCTTATATATATCTCAGAGAAACATTTCTTCAAGTTTCTTCGTAAAAATTACTTTTATAGCAACATTGAATATTTAGGTACGCTTGAAAAGTGGGAGGGTATACTGTAATCGGTATGTCCATCCGTCTGTCTGTTACGCTTTGGGTACCCATCTCTTATCCGCAACTCCTCTTATACCACTCAGTGAAATTTAATGAAACTTTCACAGAATCTTTGTTACATATTGCCATTATGCACTCCTATATTTTGGGTTTCCTGGCCACAGCAAAACATGGATTTTGACAATATTACCATACGGGAGGCGGGGGGTATCATTTAGTGAGCCCATTGCTCACAGTACCTCTAGTTTACAAGAGTTTTTGTGTCATATCAGTGCTAAGGGTTATACAGGCATTTAAAGCTATCAAAATTCCATTTAATTGTTCAAAATTCCCCCCAAAGAATTCTTATATATTCTCTGTTTTTGTCGGTCAAGCTTTCCTTTTTCTTATTCCATTGTGTCTTTTGTTTTCTCTTTTTCTCTTTTTAGATATTTTATTCGATCATTTAAGGTTAATTCTTATCCAAGTATAACTCTTTGTCAACCTGATATTGTTCCTATTTTTATGCTCCCTTATTAATTAAGCGTTAAAATTAAAATTCTGTCGGCCTATAGAAAAGTAGGAAAACAAATTCAAACTTTAAACTAGATGCTGTCATGAGACAGTAATACCCGCACAAAGGTGTTTGCCTCTAAATACACGCTCCTACATATTGGGCGGCTTTCCAAAGAAATAGTCAAAATAATTCTATAATTTACATGTATTCATCAAATTGAGTATGAAATTCTCAGACCCTGTGACCTATAACTCAGAACCTCTTATATTTATTTTATACATGTTTAATTCATTATATACCAGTCTGAATTTTATTAATGATGTAAATTCATGCACGGATCTGTCGGGGGGGGGGGGGGGAATCAGGACCCCCCCCCCCTGGAATTTACAAGGTTAAAAAATGTATATACTAAAACAAGGAAAAAGTTACAATGGACCCCCCCTTGGAAAATGCAGATCCCCCCCCCCCGGTAAACACGAATATGTGTAAAATAAGTATGAAAAGTTAAACATTTGCGGCAATAGAAGTCACCACTACTCCCACCCCACCCCCCACGATATAGGTTTTTGACGTTTGGGTGAGATTTACTTTAGGGTTTTTTTTTTTTTTGATTGTCAATTTCTGGGATAGGATTTTTTTTGACTGAGGTGGACCCCCCCCCCCCCCGGAAAAAATTTCTGGATCCGCGTCTGAAATTAGATTTTGATATATGTTTTGCTCATAAGAGGACCTTTTTAAATTTACTAACCCCCCCCCTCGACACCACAATCACACAGCACATACTTTTTGGAATAGGCTGGATGGAAAAGATTTGTTAAAATTTAATATCGTTTGTTATGAATTAATTTAAAATTTGTTCTTGTACTATACATGTGAACATGTAAATTTCTACATCACATCACGTTGCGTCACCCATTATCATATTTATAGATTAAACACCATTTGGCACACCTCGGCCGATTCCCACTTCATCTGATAAGGTGATGGAATCGACGAAGGTTCGCCAAAATGGCACATGGCTGCAGTCTGGTGTGCATTGGATTAATTCATTTTGAGTTATAATTGGATTTATATTTCATGAAGTTGAGACACAGGGAGTCGGTAAGTAGAAGTTTTAGTATAGTGGGGGGTAAAATACACCCAAACTATTAGGTTAAAGTTTAAAAAGGGTGAAAGATCATCGCATGCCACACTAGACGAATTTCATATTGTGAAGTTATCTCCCGTTGTCGATGTGACATTCAGTTACTGCCAATACTGGTGCGGATCCAGAATTTTTTTCGGGAGTAGGGAGGGGGGTTCACATCTCAGTCAAAAAATTCCAGCCTAGAATTTCGTGACAAGCAGGAGAAAAAAATGAAAACAAATAAACAAATAAAAAAACAATGATAGTGAGGTCAATGTTTTCTAAGTTTATAGGGAGAGGATGTCAAGAGTCATTTTTTACTTGCTACAGTATATAGTCTTGTTTAAATAACAAAGCAAATGCCAGATGGGGGGGATGGGGGGGATTCCAATCTTCCTACCCACTTCCTGTCCCTGAAATAACAATGTATTTTGTTATTCCAGTTAAATAGTATATTTTTTTCCATTTGACTAATTATTATACATATTTTGTTTCTTGTGTTTATAGTATGTCTGTCTATAAGTCTGCAGAAATTAAATCCTAGCTAGCTTGCCCATAAGTTTTAAGTGGGATGGGCTATACAAATAGCTTCCACATTTTATAGGTTTATTTCTTGTGACAATTTAATAAGACCTTTTATTTGGGTACCATTAATTTTTACCTCTGATCGCTTGACATGGGATACACATTTTTACAAGAAAAATACCAAACTTTAAACTCTGCCTAAATTTTGATCAGTAGGTGCTAGGGCTTTCATACTTATCATGACATATTGTATTCATTGTGAACTGTCAACAGGTATAAATATGTTTGACCTTGACCCTAGAGTTTGAACCACTTAAACAAAAAAATTAACCTTGGCAATTAACTTTTGAACAGGAATTACTAGGGATTTCTTTATTTCACATGTGCATTCCTTGTGACAAGACTTTCTTCTGATACTAACAATTTGAACCCTTTGACCTTGACCTTTGATTTTGACATATATTTGAGAAACTTCAACCTTCGCCATAGGCTTCCATACTGGGACATCAGTGTTTCACAAACACATCTTATCTTCATTATTATTTGGTGGTGTCTCCATATGAGGGAAGATGTATTCACAACAAACAAACAAATCACTAAAGAAAATATAAAACATGAATATGTTGGTCAGGCATATCTCTGCAGAAAAAAAAACAGCTTTTCAAATACTCCAACCATATTGTAACCCTTTCAAAACACTCATTTGAGCTTTTTTGGTTTCCTTAGCATATAATGTCTGTCGTGACGTGTTGTCCATCTGTTTGTCTGAAAACTTTTTACATTTTTAACTTCTCTAGAACCACTGGGCCAATTTTACCCAATTCATATAGAAATATGTACATTTGTATGTCAGACTCAGTCCATCTGTCTCAATAAATTTAACCTTGGTTATTACGGTCATATCTACTGAATGAGAAGAGACATTCATATTAAACTTATGTATTAGTATATTTACCTGTGAG